GCGTGCGTGCATGTGTAGCATATGTTATATATGCACTCTAATGTAACAAAACAGAGTTACATGTGCATGCACTTGAAATTAAGTATCGACGTTAATACTTGGGACCAAGTATATGTACATGTTACATGCTTAAGACCAAGTATATGTACATGTTACATACTTGGGACCAAGTATACGTACATGTTATGTTATTATTATGTGCATGTGACGATGGCGTAGTGGTAGCAGACTTGCGTTACGTGGTACAGCTGCGGCAGAACAGCAAGTTAATGTCGAGTAGTTAACATGGTGAATATTGAGCATCGTCTATCTCTGGTGCTAGTTGTTTCTCCGCATCTCTGCAGAGGTGTCAGCAGCATCTGTTGCTCTCGCTTCTGTATGGGTTCACGTGGAAGTTCCCACATTTCTGCAGTATGCAGTGTGACTGAACACGTGAATGTCAGAAGCCAAATTTGTTTTGATATGAACTTTTTCTCATAGACCGTTGACAGAAGCATGGTATATGGTGTATGCAGTGTCATAGAGGTGCGGTCTACGATAAAAGGTTCATGTTAAGACTAACGTTAAGACTAATTTTGCTTCTGACAATGGTCTATAAGAAAAAGTTAATGTTAAGACTAATGTTAAGACTAATTTTTGCTTCTGACAACAATCTATGATATACAGTTAATAGTAAGAATAATGTTAAGACTAATTTTGCTTCTGACAACCCCTTCTCCCTAACTCTAATCATATCTGTACCTAGTAACTGAACTCCCGCGCTCTGTTACAGTGTTTCTCTACTCGATGCCGGGATACACGTGTCCCATCAAAGAACGGATGCTCTATTCCAGCTGCAAGGCCCCGCTGCTGGATACCATAGAGCAGTATGTGCAGCTTCCCCTCGCACGCAAGGTACGACCCGCCGCACGCATCGCGTTGCCGTGGCGACGGCAGACGCTCCTACTTTGATAGCTGTGTGGTGTATTTGCGTTATTCTGTTCATTGAGTGCTGCCACCTTTTGGTCGGTATGTACGGTCGGGGTGACTATCAGCTGCTCACTCAGCAATTCAATGAATTGCTATCCAGTTTTCCGAGCATGTATTCTGTTAGACTTGTTAGGCAGCACGTATATACCTAAGGTTTTGCATCTCCGTTGAAGCATTCACAATTTTAGGTAAAGTGACTACTTACTGTGGCTAACTAGCTGTGACTGTGACTGTAATTGTGACTATGACTGTAATTGTGACTGTGACTGTGACTGTAACCCTTTCCCTCTGCATCACAGGTTGAGGTGGACAGTCCATCAGAAGTCACGGAGGAGTTTCTCTACAATGAGATTCACCCGAAAGAACACGCACACAAGATGGCATTCGCCAAGCCCAAGGGTCCGCCGAACCGGGGCGCCCGGCGAATCACCAAGAAGTAGGTGGCGCTACGAGTCGTTGCATGTGCCCGTGTGTTTATTCGAGACGGAATCTAACCGCGACAGAATCCAAAGAAATTACGACCCGGCGGTTCGCGTGCAATTTATTCCCGTCAGATGGCGCCACATATCGTGACCGACCCCCCTCCGCGAAGTGCAGACCACCAGGTGGTGCCACCGATCGTGATCTCGATCACGTATCGACGGTGCATCACTGTTGTTTCTATAATGCCTCGTGAGTTAGATACACATGGTTAACGAAGTACAGTTCTCAGGTTGCAAAACTTACCTCCGTACTTACAACTGTATAAAAGTTGAACAGTAATAATTGGAAATCAATACCAGATTGCAACAGATCGCATCCTCTGGTAATTTAAACTAACTACTTTAGATATATTTGCGAGTCGAACGTTCGAGGCTTTGCCCCGCCGATTCCACGGCTCGCTATTTCAGTTTGTAGGGTTCGATTCCAATTTTGCATGCGTCTGTACGGTCGGTTGCCTGGCAACGTGCGGAGACGAGGATGAGGGTAGGCGTGAGCAGCGGTCGCGAAGCGGGCGTGGCGTGAGCGGCGCCCCACCCGTCTCTGGATTCTGTCGCTGCATGCGCGAGTGTGGCTGCACGCGTGCGCGGCGTGAGATAACACAACGATGACCTTGCCTCGCTCGTGAAGGTCGTAGGTGTCGAGTTGCGTGATAGGCTAACATTCTTTCCCGTCGGAAGTCTGGTGCCGGGCGTCCGCTGACGCGGCGGCGGCGGCTTCAATGCGCCGTCGTGCGCGCGGGGACGTCGTCGGTGATCGTGCGATGAGTGGCGCCCCCTGTACGCACGACAGCCGTGCAATTGTTGTTCGTGGCGAGGCGAACTGGGAGTGTCATGTCGCACGCGAGCGGGTTGGCCGGTGTGTGATGGGACATGGCATTTTGACAATGTCCGTGCTGTGCCACCCCCTCCCCCTTTACAAAAGCATCCATGTTTGCTGAAACGCGACGAAATCACGTAGGAATCGATGAAATAAATTCGTTTATATTAATCATGGAAAATAATTGTTTTTATATCACGGTGAATTATTTAACTTGTACTGTGTACAAGGTTGTTGTGACTGCAGTATGCGCATAGTGAATGAGTATAAGAACTGCGTTTAATCTGCCTGCCCACAATTGGTATGTGATAGGGTAGGCACTGAGTTCCAGCAAACATGTTTCTTCAGGATGCCCTGAGCATGTTCGTTAATGTTTACACTGTTTCACATGTAGACTGTTACTAAGGCAGAATGTGAATATATAGATGGGATGCCAACTTGTTTGTGTTCGCAAGATAAGCGCACACATCTTGCCTAAAACTGTAATTAACCTTTCGTATGAAGTAGACGAGATCGACTTGTGTGTTTTACCGCTCCCGTCATGACGGTGTGCGCATGTGACGATGCCGCTACCGGTGCATTACCGACGGCTTTCATGCGCGCACGCCGTGACAGCAACCGAAAAACGCGCCGTCGCTACAACCGTGTTGCGCATTTTCCAGTTCAAAATGTCTGACGTCGTGACAGTCGTTAGTGCCCCCCTCTGCCTTATCGGAAGCCACAGGTATGTACGACGACGGTTTCTTCTGGCGAGAGCTAGAGAGAGAGTGTGTGCTAACGATGTAGTGTTGCATGCGCAGAAACACTAATAATCGCGACGATGGAGTGAAGCTTACCGGACTGCTGGTTGCTGCATTGCTACACGCTTAATCCATGTCTGTCTGAGCGCGCGCTGACCAAACCCCTCTTAGATGTTATCGCCTCGTCAGCGAAGCTAGACCTATTTACGTATTTTTACGTATTATATACACACGTGGTATAGGTACGTATTATTACGTACCTATTAGACCTATTCAGGCTGTTACGTATTTTTCACACGTGAACGCAAAATCTTCAACGATACTTCATTACCGGTGTAATTAGAATGCCCCCTGTTGCAACAGTGATTGGCTAGAGCCACCAGTCAATCACTCCAGGCAGACGTCTCATTTGCCCTTGGGAATCCATACCCGGCTGTTCATACAGGGTTCGTGTAGGGGACCGGGTACTACCAGCTACCTAGCGCGCGCTCGCGCTCCAGAGTCCAGTGAGCTTTCCATGCATGCACCACAATTCGTCAGAGTTACCTGGTGGCGGCTAACCACGTTGATATTTTAGCGGTAGGGTCGTTCGACTGGGTTTAGTTTGTACTGCGACTGTAACAGCATGGCGTCATGCGCTAGTAGTGCTCATAGGGTCTATGTCCCCCAGGGTACTGCCAGAATGTACCCTGGGTACGGTCCGGTATACCGGAACGTACCCTGGTAACTATCTGATATGGTTAGGGTTAGGGTTAGGGAGTAAGCGTAGGCGACTCCCTAGACTCGTTAGTGGAGTAGACGAGGTACGGTCCGGCATATTAGATAGTACCAGGGTACGTTCCGGCAGTACCCTGGGGGACATAGACCCTCTCAGCACTAGTAGTCTCGTGTGCAGAGAGCCTCACGCGTGCGTTTCGCTGGCAGCGACAGAGTACTCGTGCCTTCCCCTCTGCGCGTGTTTCTGCAGCCCTCATTATGTCGAAGCGGTGGCTGTTGCATTGTCCCATCGCTTACAGTCCGTGTGCAGACGCTTGCTAGGTGGTGGTGGTTCAGCGCGCTGATTTCACGCTGCCAGCAGCGGCTGCTTAACGAATCCTACGGTTGTAAACGAGTTTTTAAAAAGATACGCGCATTTTCGCTTGTGACCAATGTGCTTTGCCGCATCTCGGTTACTCGGTCAGCGGTAGTTAAAGCCACCGAAACGCACTGCAGAATATCTGGATAGTGACCTTCAGTCACAAGGATCTGAATGATGGCATGTGTCATCGTGTAGACATGCTTGCTTATGTATTTAACTAGTTTGACGACGACTAACCCTATATATGCTATTCGAGCTAATTATAAATTATGACATCATCACGGCTACGAGTGGCGCGATTCACCAGTCGACGTGTAATATGTAAATTTTGCTTTGTAAATAGAGCTGTCCATTTTCGTACGGGGAAAAGTTTTGTATTTCGGTTAGGCGAACGAAAGAATTACGTATTCTTCTACTTTCGATATGTCGTAACGTGTACTGACCGCCCTAGGCGTGGTGTCAGCGAGATCGTGTTGAGCTTTGCATCTTTACTTTAGCGTTATTCCTAGTAGAGGCACGGACGTGCGAGCGCGGTATCGTGCAGACGTGTCCATTCCTGCCTGTGACCGTAGAGTCGACCGTTTCAGTTATTCATTGCACGACCAAGACGAGATACATCGAGCAGAAGATATCACGTTCAGCCGCCTCCTCCACTGGTGATGCCCACCATCACGTATAAATATATCGACGTTGTTTTTATTCGTAAACTGAGCGGCGTTGCTAACAGCGGCGGTTTTTCCGCGCGTCGAGATTGGACAGTAGGGGACATCCGTTACGTCAACTGCGCCAAGTTTGTGTGGCAGCTCGTAGTTGACTGGCATGCATACCAACAGTTTGCGAAAGCGTTCAACCAGCGGAACCGTATGTTCAATGCTTTTATTTCCGATAGCAGGCCAATGAATTAAATATAGCGCAGGCGTGTTCTTCTAGGATGGAATGCTCTGCGGCCGACAATCGAACGTTATAGGCAATTGTTGTAAGTGGGCAACTCCCTTTCAGTGCTGCTACAATAGCTGGTGTATCTGTACATGCGTGTATATTGGCAGACGTGGCCACGTCTACGGCACCGCAAGTATGTTATGACTGCTACGAGGATTCGGCCCATGGTTCTGCCACCTAGTGGCCGTATTTGCTATCGAGGGGGTTTACAGACGCTTAATTTTGCTCAATGTCGAATGTTATAGTCACGATTGTTGTTACATTAGAACATTATTAAGTTTTATATGTTCGGAATTATTCAGAATTTGTGATTGTTGGCTGACAATGTGGTGTTTGCGAAGTATTCGTCATCTTTTTGGTTTGGTTCTCAATCGTTACTGCATCGTACGGTGGAGCACTTGATTGACTGTGTTAGACAAGTGTGTCGAACTTCTAACCACAGCATATTCACACGCAAGAGCACTGGGATAAAGACCGCGTGCTGCGGTGTGGCTGTGTCTATAGTAAATTTATTTATGTTGGCTGGCAGTTACGTGAAATTGATTCCATGCGCTACATTATTGTCGCCACTATTTTCATGTTCTTTTGTCAAGCCTTTAGAAGTTGCTTGCCATACATGCACACCGTGATCGCTACATAGCAAGGCTGTGGATGTTAGCTTGAAGCTATCTCTGCGGAGAAATAAAGATTGTATAGAATACTTGATGATACATATAGATGTATGTATATATATATATATATATATATATATATATATACATCCATACTCGCATATATACACAGTCAACTTGAGTCAAGCCTGGTAGGATCACTCAAGAGAAATGCCAAGTGTCATTTATAGACATGTGTCCTTTCTATAAAAGTAACTGCTACCACAGGTTTGACTGTGTGTATATAATTCATTTGCCAATTATCCCAGTTGTTTGCTAAGGTTTCTTGTATATGGGATGATGCACGTTTAGTGTTAGGAGTTCAACTTCACTTCGTTACTGTCAAGACCAGCAAATGCCATCAAAGCCTTACTTTGGTACAAGATTACACTTTGATGAACAATTAATTATGCTACGATAGTTGTGTATCACATTTTAAAAGTGAGTTTCTCGTGTATTTATACGACACCAATAATTATTTTTCCCTATTTTCTGTAATTGCAAATCTGAGGAAGGAAAAGGATAAACTTTTATATGCAAACAAAAAAGTAAAAAATGTTATATTTTAAATTCTGAGCTTTGTTGTTTTTCTTGCCTGCGTGTATTTCAATTTGAAATAGTTATAGTATAGTATAAAGTAATATTGGTAGGTAGGGGAGCTAAAGCCTTCTTGTGCAGTATAGTAGCAAACATGTTATGCATAATATTACCTACAAACAAAATATTAAAACGTCATGTAAATCTGCGGGTCATTTATTTTACATGTATGAAATGTTGAGCTTACAAACAAAATCGGTGACGATCCAAAAATGAAGATGATGGTGAATGTTGGTGATAGTGTTCTCTAAAAGAAATTCCATTCCATCCATGATGTTATGAAGCGTGCCTGCGAACAAGAGGGAAGATTCTTTACTTTGTGCAAGTGTATCAACTACTAACGCTGGTCCTCTGCAATTTGTAGGAGGTTCCCTGTAATCGCCGTATTAAATAGTGTAAATAAATATATATCCAAAAAATAAAATTAAATAAAAATTAAATATCCAATAAATAATAAAAAATCCAAATTTATCTCCGCTTTACCTCTGATGCCTGGCATGGTAATAATTTTGCTACTTCTTTCCAGATTTCTTCATTCCGGACCCACCTGAAAAAGCAACCAATATAAGCAGTCGGCTTATATGTTGGGTTGAATAGATAGCTGCCTGAGTAAGATAACACAGCATATGAGTAATTCAAATATGTGGCAGTACTGTAAATTGTTGATTGCAAGCGAAAGTCACGATCATGAACACGCTAGATGCGGTGCTAGATCAGGTGGGACAAAAAACTAGTATCCTGCTTTTGTCAACAATAGTGAGACAAAACTAAATGGTTTGGCATGTGACAGTGACTATATGGAGAGTTGCAAGCGAATAGCATCGAAATGGATTGCCACTCAAACCGCTATTACCACATTTCGTATCTTATGCTGCCACGTGTGCAGCTGCAGTAACAAAAAATCAGCACACACAGATAACTGAGATCCTGTACAGAACTGTACAGGCAGGCATTCCTGTTACACAGAGATTACAAATAATTTCCCAGTTTGTAACCAATTGTCTCTAGCAAGCCTGATGGTTGGAGGAAAGGAGGAAAATTGTGCGGGTTTTAACATTGCACAATGTGCGGTTACAAGTAATGCAGTTTTATGCACAACAGTTATGCTATGTACGTGTGTCTTCAACCACATTAGAGGCTAACAAGGCAGAGCCACCTACCCATGGGGCCTTTACCAGAGGCTTTAGTCTGGGCTTCTTTCAATGCCTTCTGCTGTTCCTTCTGCTTTTGCTTGTATGCCACGTCGTCCTGAAGAACATTTCAAAATGAACGTGTAGCATATTTACTTTCTATTTTCCTGTTCAAAGCCTGACAAGAATAATAATTCTAAAACTGTTGGCAATGAATAACATGTAACTGCTGTTTCCTCTAAAGCATAATATAATATTATCTATCTAGAAGCAAAAATTCACTATTTTAATTATCGCATTCCAAACAATCAATGCCAATTACATGATATAACAATTTTACTACTGGTACATACACATGTATCATAATTCATATGTATCATATCAGGAGTATCTTACTCCTGATCATATGTATAATAGCTAGAAGTAAAGCAACTTTTAATACAGAACTAAGATGAAAAAGACACTTATTTTTAAATAAGGCACATAATAATATTTATTAATTTACATTAAAAAACGTTATTATTTTGAGTAATATAGAAAAAAACTATCAGTTTACAACCAAATAAAATAAGAAACACTACCTTACTGTACGTAAGTACTGTACCTGTACCTAATCAGTGTTATATGACTTTGATAGAAGTGAAAAATATTAATAATTGGATTAGGTGTTACCACAGAGTAGGTATACGGTAGCTCGATACGTTTACTGTTCTATATTTAACAATGCCATAGTTTGCTGATGATGAAGATCCTATTAATAGACATCCCCCGTTGGCGTCGCCTAATTCCTAATGCCAAAGGCTTAAGACAGTATCACTTTCAGATCTCCAAATAAAAGCCACCATAATTTACAAAACTAACAGGATTGTAAAAGAAAAGCCAACACTATTTACGGCACTCTTGAACGTTCTTGAAAGGCGGGAAAACGTGACAGGTCATTGCCACCATGCTGCACCATGATCAAGCTGTGCGAAGTTTTGCTCAAGCTTTGCGAAGTTGCGAGAACCTACCTCATCCATATCAGAAACCTGCTTCTTTGGCTGCTTCAGAGGCTTCTTCTTGCCACCTAAAACCGAAATGCGTTAACAATTATTCATCAAAATTACAATAACAAAGACGAAACATGTTCGTTTATAACTCATAAATTTATACCTTCTCGACCCGACATCTTGCTGGATGTGAGAGGAGAGACCACAGAGACTGCTTGGCGACTGGCGAGGGCAGACCAATCAGCAAGATGCTTGTGGCTGAAATGTTATTTTTCCAGTGACGTCACTACAACTGTACGGAGATTGACAAGATAAAATTGCAAGTAAATTTCGCACCGAAAATGATTTCTATGTGATCGAGCCGGTAGAAGACAGCTCTATATCATTAAAAAACGTGTAACCTCCGTCAGAAACAATTTTACCAGATGTCGATAATCTTAAATTCAGTTGAATTAATAACGAAATTTAATGTTTTTACACGAATAAAAGAAACACACCCTGAAATCACACATATTGCACTATTTACCACATAGGTGTCACCACTACTGCATCATTCTAACAGTGGCGGCGCACGTTTACGTTTGTTTTGAAAAGTTAACGCGCATTTATTATCTGTAGCGGCATAGTTTTAGTAGCAAATTGTCGCAGGTAATATACCAGTTGTTTGATTGTCTAAGGAACGCAGGTGTGTATAGTATATAGTACGTGCGTTGCCTGTTTTTAGATGATTAGGTAGTATTTGCAGATGTTTTGTGTGATGATAGTCTAGTGTGTTACACACTGTGTTGACATGCGTCTAAACAGAGTAATTGCTCCGACCTGTGATTGGAGGATAAAAATAGACCCCGCCCACTTTTCCATTTTTGGAGGATAAAAATAGAATAGGTGCGGGCGGACAGCCGGGAACTTTGCCACATCCTGGACTTTCTTAACCTAGCAACCAGCTGTGCCGGTGAAAACAACAGCCTGTCTCCGTCACAGGCACTTGAAGTTGAAGCGTTTCAATAAAATATAATGCTAACTAAATACGAAATCCATTTACTACTAAATTCTTAATGTTTCTATACTCTCTTTCACCTATTATTGCCGACAGTTTCCTGTCAATTTCGTCCAAATCCTACGTGCAACCATATACGCTGCTGGCGCCATTAATATTGCTCTCGCGGCTCTGCTGTTGCACGCTTACACTAATATATATAGCAGGTAGGAAAGCGGGATCGCAAAATTTGCTTGAAACTCGCTGGATTTCACACTTTCACAGCACGAATACACATCCAACAGCTGCCATCTTTGTTTCTATGTCAAGAACAGTACGTGTTTACTTGTTATAAAAAACATACTGTCTCTGTTCGTAACCGAGCTGTGTCACGCGAAATCACACAAAGACTGACGAAATTCTCGCGTTCGCGAACCTTAATTGCCCCGTAATGTAAATGGCTGTCAGAATCAAGGCTATATAGACTGGGACTCGCTCCCACCTCGATTACCCATCGAGTGACTAAGCTAAGCCGAGAGGTGGGAGCGAGTGCCAGATTATGGACTATAGGCGCCGCGCAGGCGGCGTACTGCTTTCCAACTCCCGTATGAGCCTCGCCATTGGAACGTTGCAAAAACCTTGCAGCGTTGCGGCGCAAGAATGAGGTCACGAAGAGCGCCAGTAGGTGTTTCTTGATTCTGACAGCCCTTTACATTACGGGGCAAGGTTCGCGAACGCGAGAATTTCGTCAGTCTTTGTGTGATTTCGCATGACACAACTCGGTTACAAACAGAGACAGTATGTTTTTATGACAAGTGAACACTGTTCTTTACATAGAAACAAAGATGGCTGCTGTTGGATGTGTATTCGTGCTGTGAAAGTGTGAAATCCAGCGAGCGTCGAGCGAATTTTGCGATTCCGCTTTCCTACCTGCTATATATATTAGTGTAAGCGTGCAACAGTGGAGCCGCGAGAGCAATGGCGCCGGCAGCTTATATTGTACTACTATATATATTAGTGTAAGCGTGCAACAGTGGAGCCGCGAGAGCAATGGCGCCGGCAGCGTATGGTTGCACGTAAGATTTGGACAGAATTGACTGGAAACTGTCGGCAATAATAGGTGAAAGAGAGTAGCGTGTTTGTGTGTCCTTGTGTGTGCATGTGTGTGCGTGTGCGTGTGAGTGTGTCACTGTGTGTGCATGTGTGAGTGTGTCACTGTGTGCGAGTGCGTATGCGTGTGTGTGTGAGTGTGTCACTGTGTGCGAGTGCGTGTGCATGTGCGTGTGCGTGTGAGTGTGTCACTGTGTGTGCGTGTGCGTGTGTGTGCGTGCGCATGTGTAATCTTGGACTTTGTTTTTGTTTCACCAGACCTGGGGTAATTTTATTCAACTAATGCAAAGCAAACAAATAA